CCTTAATATTTATCTATGTTACACACCTAGATTTATAAGGAAAAAATATTAAGTATTTAAAAACGCTGCGCGCACACCTATAACAGGCAGCATAAAGCTCGAAATAAATGGCGTTATTTCCCCTTGCCCTTCAGACGTCGTAGTGCTAGACTCGTAAGGCGAACGTTAGGTGAAATCAGTATGTGTCCTCTAACAGCTTTTGAATAAGCTCTACGTCTAAGCATATATGCGACTGGGTTTTTTTTTGCGTAAAATATTTCCCATCGACATAACAGTAGTTAGGTACCTAGATATGACAATTATGACATTAGTGTATGGAAGCCACCAAGAAAAATTAGTGTATGGAAAATTTTCAGGTTTACTACAAATAACTTCAGTAGTTTTAATCCACAAGCACTTATTAAGTTAACTGCGGGAGTCGAAATGTTGCAACTGATAGTAATGTGATAAACCTAAATACAACTGCGAGTCTTGTGAGCAAAATTCATAATTCATGTTTCAAAAAGTGTCTAATAGGCTGATAAGTCTATGTACACCCTTTTACGTTGTTTACTAACTTTACCAATTTTCTGTCCGCATATCAAGGGAAAAGTGTTCGACAACAGATTTTCTGACCATGATGGAGCTGTCTTCTGATAACTAAATGGGGTAAAAAAATTCGCGCTCCAATATACTTGGCCGATTCGACCAGAATTTATGGCTTTTCTGTGTCAATACTACTAAACCGGTCGAAGGTCATTTCTAATTTGCCTCTTCAGCAGGAATTTTTTCTCTTCCATAGTCTCGATCCCTAGACACTGATCAAATGTTACAAGTGACGGTAATGTGGTATTAACACTTTAAAGTTGCTAGATTTATATCAATCATAGGTAGAAGAGTTTCTGTCGAAACATCTTCATCAATCAATCTTCTTTGTTTCTCAAGTGAAACTTCACAGTTCTCATTGGAAAGAGTTTCTACTTTAAGGTTTAACTTGTTTTTTTTCTTGAGCTCCGAAATTATTCGCAATTTCATGCTTCCTAACTAAAAACCCACTCAGTTCCTGATGGCTGTTTATACAGAGGGTCAGAGAGTTGCCTTGCTCTATGTTTAAGTGATTTAATAATAGCCACTTTATGTGTGATGCTAAATGATGAATTAAAGTTAATAATCCTTCGTGATGCTGTTGGTTTTTGATATCAATCAGAAGTAAGTTTGTTATCAACATCCCTAATGACAACTACATCAAGGAATGGAAGCCTCAACCCTTTCAAGTGGATCCCTCAATATTTTCCCAATGTTTCTCTATCAGATTTAGTACTAAATCTTAAGGAATATTTGTGAACAATGAGGTGACATCAAGAGAAACAAGAATGTATCCAGCTAAAATTGTGTTACTTCTAAGTTTTTCCACAAACTTGAAGGAGTTATTCACCAGATATTGAAATGTTGGTACCAAGTTATTCAAAATGTTGGTTACGAAACTGGAGATGTTGTAGGTAGGTGACATTACACACGAGACAACAAGTCTAAAGGGTGTGTTTGGCTTGAGGATTTGGGTAGTCCATAGATTTTTGGTGGAATAGAATTATGGCTTTAGGAACTTTTTTACTGAATCTTTGTCGAGTTCATTACATGATACCAACTTTTTGAACTTCTTGATATTCCTAAACTTTGGGGCGCAACGATGGCAAATACTTAACAGGCCTTTTATTTTTCTTGTCGCCCTTCATTGGATACCGATAGGTCACAAACTTCACTTAGTCGTAATTCAGTATAGTAAAATGAAATTCAGAATACACCAAATGAAATTCAGAATGTACTAAATGAAATTCAGATTTATCAAATTTATTTCAGAAAGCATCAATTGTAATTCATATTTCTTAAATGTAATTAGGAAAACATCAAATGAATTTCAGAAAGTCTCAAATGAAATTGAGAATGCACCAAATGCTATTCAGAAAGTAGTAAATGTAGGTAACTCCGATTATTTATTTAAATTGAAATAAATTAAGAAATAATTCCACATACACATGCAAATAGTAAAATGTATATTTTTCATATTTTGATGAATTCTAAATTACATTTGATGGTTTCTGAATAACATTTTTTACTTTCTGAATTACATTTCATAGGAATACAACTGATGTTTTCTAAATTATAAATGATGCATTCTGAATAACTTTAGATAAATCTGAAATACATTTAGTGCTCTCTGAATTACTTTTGTTAAATCTGAATTATATTTGATGCTTTCCGATTTTCATTTGACTGTTATGAATTTCACTTGATGTTTTCTGAATTACTGATCTGATGGAAACGGTGTAAAAGTCAGACAAATAATCGAAAACGCATATGAATTCGATGCGAATACTTATTTGTGTTTTGTCGACTACGGTAAGGCATTTGATTGTTTGAAGTGGAAGAACCTGTGGCTGGTATTGGAAAGAATGGGAGTACCAAAACAAATGATCCTTTTGCTCAAAAGCCTTTACGAAAACAGCTCAGGGAAAGTAAAAGTCAACAACACTCTATTTAGGTCTTTTCATCCGAAGTGTGGTATAAGACAAGGTTGCATTGTATTACCCATGCTCTTCAATATATATGGAGAGTATGTAATGAGAACAACTTCACAAGGTTGGCCAGAGGTACTTACGATGGAAGGAAAAAAGATAACGAACCTCAGATATGCTGACGACATCTTAGTTCTAGCATGCTCAGGATCAGCAGAAAACCTGTTCTTATGTTGACAAAAAGTAGACGCAAATTATGACAGTAGACCGCAATCTTACTAATATCAGACAGATTGATGGCTTTTAAGTGGTGATTCGACAATAAAACTGACTCGAATATAAAAAGACACTACAATATCCCAAAGCGACAAGCTACAGCTTACAACTTCTGAGCACCTTGATCCTTCCTATTACCACATAAGCCTCTGAGACTTTAAGAACTGCCAACCGAAAAAAACTGCATGCTTTTGAAATATGAGTCTACAGAAGAATGCTCCGAATCTTGTAGACAGAACATCGTACCCAATGTATCAATTCTTGAGCAGCTTAAGTCACTGCAAGAATTTCAACCAAAATAAACCAGGTATATACCTAAGGTACTGTGGACACATTTTAAGAAGAGCAGACGGATTGGGAAAACTTATCGTCGAAGGAAAAATCAACGGTAAACGACCAAGAGGAAGGTCTCCAATGCGCTGGGTGGATCAAACCAAAAAAAATATTGGCCATGGTCTGCAAAAAGCTGCTATAGCAGCTCAGGACACAGAAGGATGGAGAACTACAATCCGACCAATTAAGACATGATATCACCATTCTCTTTCGAAACTCAACAAACAGGAAGAAGAAACAACTCAACTATTGGATTCAATAAAGAGTTGATAGGGATGGACACACAAATTTGGTTTTCACCGACTCTATTTAGAGCAAATGGTCCAATATCCCCACACTAACAATTTTGAAAACCAGAGTAGCAGTACCTTTTTAAGTCCAAAAGTCTGAATTGACTTACCCCAGGAAAACGTGGCACTACCCATCGGCACTCACACAAAATGGAAGCACACAATTAGATAAAAAAAATTAAAATATAATATTTATATTTCAAGAATAGATTAAATAAGATTTATTAGGTAAAAACTTAAAACAATGATATGATAATATGAATTAATAGAAAAATATATTGAAAAATCTATAAGGGAGAATCCAAAAATTAAGAGCAAAAATTTCTAAAATAAAAAGGACTTGCCTGCCAGACTTCTGTCGAGGAAAGAGGACGTTTTAGAAACCAAACCCCACAGGAAAACGAACCTGTGTTTTTTATTCTTAACTGCACCTTAACCCGTTCAACCAATCAGACGAGTACACCCAAAAGATCATATTCACTTCACAATGAAATCACAATGAAAAACCACGTGAAATAAAAAAGAATAGATAAAAATCCACTAGAATTATTTTAATTGTTTACAAATTATAATAATTTAAATTAAGGTTATGTCAAAAATAAAAAAAACTCTTAATTAATTAGGTCATCAAGCCAAAAAATGATTATTTCAGAATCAGAAGTTAGAGAAAGACAGAAATATATCCATTTGCTAAAAGTGAGATAAATATAATTTCTTTGAATCAAAATACAAATGACTGTCAAATGCGAAATAATTAAAATCATACTTTGAAAAATAAATCCATCAGGTACTAGATGGCAGTACTTGTAGTATTTTGAACTTTGTGGATATTTTAGATTATTAGGAATTATTATTTTGCTGATTCTAAACTGGAAAAAAAACTTTATAATGAAAATAAGAAGAGATGGAACATGTTACGTAAATGATAAATTTATCGTAACAACTCTACCTCCGTCTCTTTTTGTTGCATGAAAGCTGAATATGTTTATCTCAAAAAATTTAAGCAAAAGCATTCGCTTCTGGTTATTCATATGACTCCCTGACTCATTTCAGATAGCATTAAATGGTTAATTTTTTCATATTTTAATTAAAAACTAAAAACTTTGACCCATAGTACCAGAGATTATTAAAACTAATATAATAAATTAGTTTAATCACGTTGGCGAATTAATTTACGGCCGAAAAAAAAAAACCTATAGTCGCTCGCTGGGATGGCTGTAAAAAACAACTGTGGTCTTTTTAATGATTGTCATGCAATTTGGTTCGTTAATTAATTTGTAATTACCTGCATTATACACACAGGAAACGGTATAATTAACATACAACCAGACCAGTTTATTTAAAAATTTTGATATGCCTATACCTACTTTATGTAGATACGCACGTGCGGAAACGGACCAAACTATGATAGGAAATTGTAGTAAAATTCCTTATGTATTGTAATTAGAAAAGTAGGTAACTCGAGAAGTATTAGGTGAGAATATTATTAATTGGCTAATTTACTTACTCCATTCTTTTCCATTTGGCAGACGCAACTGTACCTACTTCAACATATTCAAAAATCGATGTTCGAATTGGAAAAAAGTTAATATTTTTTTGTTTGTTATAGAATCGCACTCGTCTCAAAGCCCTGCGGACGACATGGGAGTATCAGAAGAAGTCACGCCTGTTGCCGGTGCGGAACCCAGAGGACCTCCGGCACATGATCATAGCGATGGTAGCGATCTGGAACCGGACGATTTCGCTCCGAAACGGAAACAGCGCCGATATCGAACCACTTTCACTAGTTTTCAATTGGAAGAATTGGAGAAAGCGTTCTCGAGGACGCATTATCCTGACGTATTTACTAGGTAAGGAATTTTTGTTTCAAAGTAATTTTGGAGTTTGGTTGATCACTCACTAAACCATCAGGTATCGATGTAAGGTGTGATTGAAAAAGAAGATGGAGACTTCTGGAAGTTAGTGGCTAATCTTCAAGTTGCAGACATTGAAATAGCAGTAGAGGTGCTAGGAGAGTTCTGGCGCAATTTCATCCATTGTAAATCTCCATAAGAAAATCTAAGGTCCGTTCTGGCAATTTTTGTACCATTTTGGAGTGGGGGCAAAATTTCGAGGAATGCTACAGCTGCATCCGGTTAAGAATAATGATTTACGTCAGAGCTCGAGCACCGGATACACATGCAGATAAAACGAAACGTGCATACTGACACTTGCTTGTCCCTGCTGCTAGAACTGTGTCACCGGGACTGTGCCCCATTTTAGGTTTCATGGGTAAATGACGTGTATTATGAGCCCCATTCCAGTGACGTCAGAAAGAGGCCACTTGCCTGTCCCCGCTGCTAGACCCGGGCCCAATTTTCTGGATTTCGTCGAAAACGCCCCATGCTAGTAAAATAGGGTTAAAACCCCAATTTCTGGCGCAAGTCCTCCGGGCCTCAATTACATAACCTAAAAGTCATAACCCAAAAGTTGGCTCCTGCCTCGAGCAAGTTGCATCTGCAACAAGAAATTGCTCGAGGCGGAGCCGAAATGCGGATTGGGAGATCACGCGTCCAAGCACAAGTCCATGGAAGTATCAGTATGCACGTTTCGTTTTATCTATATGTGTATCCGGTGCTCGAGCTCTGACGTAAATCATAGATAATAATTGATGGAGTCAAACAGAAAATGGCTATTCAGGCCTCTGCCTGAATTCAATAAAGAGTTGATAGGGATGGACACACACATATGGTTTTCACCTACTCTATTTAGAGCAAATTAATGGTCCAATATTCCCACACTAACAATTGATTCTGGAAACCAGAGCAGCAGTACTTTATTAGTCCAAAAATCTGAATTGACTTACCTCAGATAAACGTGGCACAACCAATCGACACTCACACAAAATCGAAGCCAACAATTAGATAAAAAAAATTAAAATATAATATTTATATTTCAAGAACAGATAAGATAAGATTTATCAGGTAAAAACTTAATGATATGATAATATGCATTGATTAGCAAAATATATTGAAAAATCTATGAGGGAGAATCCAAAAATATAAAGCAAAATTAATTAAAAATAAAAAGGACTTGCCTGCCAGACTTCTGTCGAGAAAAGAGAACGTTTTAGAAACCAAACCCCACAGGAAAATGATCCTGTGTTTTTTATATTTGACTGCATTTTAACCAGTTCAACCAATCAGACGATTACACCCAGAAGATCATATTCACTTTACAATGAAATCACAATGAAAACCCACGTGGAATAAAAGAGAATAGATAAAAATCCACTAGAATTATTTTAATTGTTTACAAATTATAATAATTCAAATTAAGGTTATGTCAAAAATAAAAAAACTGTTAATTAATTAGATCATTCAGCCAAAAAATGATAAAATAAATCCATCAGGTACTAGATGGCACTACCCTCATTTAATAGATATTTGCATTTTACGCACATGATTGATAGATGACAGCACTTATCATTTGTAGTATTATTTTGAACTTTGTGGATATTTTTAGAATAAACAAAGTTATACTACATTGAAATACTGGATCACATCATCACGTCCCACGTCCTCAAAAGGTAAAGTTCCCAATAAAAATATTTATTTTTTGATCCCGAAAACATTTCAATATGATGGGAATTATAAGCCGCGTGCATTTATATGTTTTTGTGGGTTCACTAATTGACTCCGTTGAACAAAGCAACGGCGTCCGCCGACAAATTGCAGACAACCCGGAATGCCTGTCGTCTCATCGGGGTCCTCGAAAAAGGGGGCCCCCCGATTACTTTATCTCGGCAAACACGATATACTCATTTCACTTATTTAGATACCACAATATGGACGAAAGGCTAATGTGATTTGTGTGGTTCCATTTTTTTTTTTTTTTTTTGGTAGTTTGAAATCTTTCATCAACTCAAAAGTTCCTTCTTCAATACTAAAATTAAGAGAGAACAGGTGTAATATACTGGATTCCTAAAGGTGACATTATATTGACGGAGGTCAGGATGACTAGATTATTAAGGCTAGTGCCTAGTACTATAATTATTAGTGCTCAGGTATACTTAAGTGGCCTCCTTCTCATGCAATAAATGCATTTCTGATGGATGGGTATGCAATGTGCAAAAGGAAAACGAAAGTGACAAGGAATGGTCAATTACAACCTCATCAAAATGTTTGATAAACATTTGTGTGAAATGGTTTGCTATTTGTTTCAAAATGATATCAACTTTTCATGATTTTCTAATATTATTGGCGTACCTACCCGACCTCTTGGTTAACAGAAAACATTCCCTTGCCTTTCCAAACTCAAACCCATCGAGTAAACATTGCGAGTATGGAGGAAAAGGTTGCTGAGTTGTGATCATCACTATGTCAATCGATAAAATCGAACTTTCCAGCGTGTAAATCATCTTAGCTCACTCGTTTTCTTCAGCCTGTCATCACCCATCTTTGAATCTAGCTGATTCTATTTTAAGTCACCCAAGCTGTGATTCTAATTCTAATTTCTCTAACCTGATTGTGGTCGGAGCATTATCCGCTCTATGGCCCTTTAAGTCTAAGATAGTTTGCCGACATTGTTCTTTCCAAATGTCTAAGTACCAAAGATTATGGGTAATACATTGGTTGAGAACCACAGGTAGATGAATTTGATGACTTTTTCCAAAGTTTTCAGTGGTGATTCTTCTCTTGTCTTCTCCATATTCATATTTGAGCCAATTTCTTCTGAAACACTTCAATAGTGGCCTCAGTTTGGGAGAGATTAGGCCTTCTAGAGGTGGCACGTTGAATTCTACTTGTTGAGAACTGAGAGACATGAAGGTCCAACAATAGTAGAGTTTGTCAGAGAAATTGTAGAGGAATTTTAGGTCTAGTGAAGACACAATGGTCCATTAATCTAAAGGGTTTCTACACAACTTGCAAATTGTAGAGCATCTGTAGACTGCTATAATATATTTCAAGTTGTTCGAAGTGAAACTTCTTTTGAAACGTTGTGAATTGGATGTCACATGGAATGAAAAAGTGTAACGAAATTTGAAACAATCTTTGTCAATTCCCGGCTCTTGAAACTTTCTCATTCAGTTCAGATTCAGAACAAATCTGATAAGCTTACTGGTTATTTCAAGGACAAAGTGATATAATATCTCTCTGTCTAACTTAAGAAAAAGTGAATCTGTGTTCTCTCCTAGATGTTCAATCAAGGTGGTATTTTTCTAGATGTTATGAATATGCTGTCGTAAATTCGAGAGGTATTCATTGCTCTTTCCCTGATTCATCATAGCTCAATCCATTCTCCGGAAGTAAGATAGAAATAAAAATGGATTTGTTAGCTTTCTCTAGGAGAATTTTTACACCTGATCGACCTACGAATGGAGAACCATACAAAAATATACATAACTGTATGATTATTCAAAAACTGTACATATGAGTATGATTATTCAAAAACTAGACATATGATTTAATTCATACTAACATGGAAAGGTTGAGAGGGTAGATAGAAACAGGAAAATACCAGTGACATACACTCAATCGACCTAAGAATGGAGAACCATAGGAAAATATACAAAACTGTATGATTATGCAAAAACTGTACATACAAGGAATCAAGTGGATCTCTCTCCTATAAGGCTTCTACTTACATTTTCAACACTTGTTCTGGAAACATGGTACACTTGAGGAAGCCGGATATTTTTTTTCATTATTGGGAAGCTTTTAACTCTAACATACTATAATTTCATGAAAATAGAGCCCAAAATAATTGATGTACGATTGTTTGAATCTTATGAACACATTGAGTAGATCATTCTATAAGGCTTCCTCTTGGAAAACTGGTTTACTTGAAAGAATCGGATATTTTTCTGTATATTCAGAAAGCTTTTAGATCTTAGATACTACAATTTTATAACAATGAAGCTCAGAAGAAAGGAGTTACGATTTTTTGAATCTTATGTCTCTCTCCCATAGGGCTTCTACTTACGTTTTCAACTCTTGTTTTGGAAAGTTGGTATACTTGAGGAAACCGGATATTTTTTTTTCATTATTGGGAAATTTCTAGCTCTAACATATCACAATTTCATAATAATAGAGCCCAGAATAATTGAGTTACGATTTTTTGAATCTTATGACACAATTAGTGGATCTCTCTCCTATAAGGCTTCTACTTACATTTTCAACGCTTTTTCTGGAATACCATGTTTCCAAAACAAGCTTGAGGTAAGCCGGATATTTTTTTTTTCATTATTGGGAAGCTTTTAACTCTAACATACTATAATTTCATAAAAATAGAGCCCAGAATAATTGAGGTACGATTTTTTGAATCCGATGAACACATTGAGTAGATCTTTCTATAAGGCTTCCTTCTGGAAAATCGGTCCACTTGATAGAGTCGAATATTTTCCTATATATTCGGAAAGCTTTCAGCTCTAAGATACTATAATTTCATAACAATGAAGCCGAAGACAAAGTGTAGCCTCTTTCAAACGCTACAAAAGGAGTTACGATTTTTTGAATCTTATGACACAATTAGTGGATCTCTCTCCTATAAGGTTTCTACTTACATTTTCAACACTTGTTCTGGAAACATGGTACACTTGAGGAAGCCGGATATTTTTTTTTCATTATTGGGAAGTTTTTAACTCTAACATACTATAATTTCATAAAAATAAAGCCCAGAATAATTATTGAGTTACGATTTTTTGAATCTGATGAACACATTGAGTAGACCTTTTTATAAGGCTTCTTTCTGGAAAATCGGTCCACTTGATAGAGTCGAATATTTTCCTATATATTCGGGAAGCTTTCAGCTCTAACATACTACAATTTCATAACAATAGAGCTAAGGACAATACCATTTTTCGAATCCTATGACACACATCTCTCTTCTATAAGGCTTTTACTTACATTTTCAACGCTTGTTCTGGAAAGGTGGTATACTTGAAGGATTCGGATATTTTCATATATAATATCACAAGCGCTTTGAATTTAATCGATTAAACTATTCAACATATTTTGAGCATGATTTTGTTTGGAAAATAGTTGAATGCACAATAACTTAATAAAAGCCCTCGGATTTTATTTGAAAGTTATTGTGCATGAAACTATTTGTCAAAAAGCAAAATATTGCAAAAAATATTTGGATAGTTTATTCCATTTAAATTTATAAGGTCGAGTGATATACGGCTAGATTATTTCCTGAATAATTGGATTTGAAGCCAGCAACAAAGAGTTCTATGTATGATAAAATGTCAGAATATTTCTATCAAAATTCTGTCAAAAAAGGTAAATAAAAAGTTAATCGCGAATAAACAGGTCTTGTGCAATAATTACTTATTTAAACAAAATTCATTCAAAAAATGACGTTGTCTGATGGGTCTTTTTTATAATGAATGAAATAATCATAATAATAAGAGCTCAGAATAATTGAGTTACGATTTTTTGAATCTGATGAACACATTGGGTAGATCTTTCTATAAGGCTTCCTTCTGGAAAATTGGTTCACTTGATAGAATCAAATATTTTCCTAGTATATTCGGAAAGCTTTCAGCTCTAAAATACTATAATTTCATAATAATGAAGCCCAGGACAAAGAAGTTACGATTTTTTGAATCTTATAACACAATTAGTGGATCTCTCTTCTATAAGGCTTCTACTTACATTTTCAACTCTTGTTCTGGAAAGGTGGTATACTTGAAGGAGTCGGATATTTTTTTTCATTGTTGGAAAGCTTTTAGCTCTAACATACTACAATTTCATAATAATAGAGCCCAGAATCATTGAATTACGATCTTTTGAATCTGATTAACACATTGAGTAGATCTTTCTGAAAGGCTTTCTTCTGGAAAATTGGTTCACTTGATAGAATCGAATATATTTTTTTTTAAATTCGGAAAACTTTAAGCTCTAACATACTACAATTTCATAACAATAGAGCTTAGGACAATGGAGTTACGATTTTTTGAATTTTATGACAATTAGTGGATCTCTGTCCTATAAGGCTTCTACCTATATTTTGATCCCTTATTCTGGAGAGGTAGTATACTCGAAAAAGCCAGATATTTTTTTCAATTATTGGAAAGCTTGTAGCTTTAACATACTACAATTTCATAATAATAGAGCCTAGAATCATTGAATTACGATTTTTTGAATCTGATTAACACATTAAGTAGATCTTTCTGTAAGGCTATCTTCTGGAAAATTGATTCACCTGATAGAATCGATTTTTTTTTTTGTATATTCGGAAAACTTTAAGCTTTAACATACTACAATTTCATAAAAATAGAGCTTAGGACAATAGAGTTACGATTTTTTGAATCTTAAGACACAATTAGTGGATCTTTCTCCTATAAGGCTTCTACTTATATTTTCAACTCTGGTTCTGGAGAGGTAGTACACTTGAAGGAGCCGGATATTTTTTTTCATTATTAGGAAGCTTTTAGCTTTAACATACTACAGTTTCATAATAATAGAGCTCAGAATCATTGAGTTACGATTGTTTGAATCTGATGAACACATTGAGTAGATCTTTCTATAAGGCTTCCTTCTGGAAAATTGGTTCACTTGAAAGAATAGAATATTTTTTTTTGTATATTTGGAAAACTTTAAGCTCTAACATACTACATTTCATAACAATAGAGCTAAGGACTAAGATACTATAATTTCATAACAATGAAGCCCAGGACAAAGGAGTTACGATTTTTTGAATCTTATGACACAATTAATGGATCTCTTTCCTATAAGGCCTCTATTTACATTTTCAACTCTTGTTCTGGAAAGGTGGTATACTTGAAGGATCCGGATATTTTTTTTCATTATTGGGAAGCTTCTAGCTCTAACATATTACATTTTCATATTAATAGAGCCCAGAATAATTCAGTTACGATTTTTTGAATCTTATGACACACTAAGTGGATCTCTCTGCTATAAGGCTTCTACTTACAGTTTCAACTATTGTTTTGAAAAGTTGGTATACTTGAGGAAGCCGGATATTTTTTTACATTATTGGGAAGCTTTTAGTTCTAACAGACTACAATTTCATAATAATAGAGCCCAGAATCATTGAGTTACGATTTTTTGAATCTGATTAACACATTGAGTAGATCTTTCTGTAAGGCTTTCTTCTGGAAAATTGGTTCACTTAATAGAATCGAGTATTTTTTCTGTATATTTGGAAAACTTTAAGCTCTAACATACTACAATTTCATAACAATAGAGCTAAGGACAATAGAGTTACGATTTTTTGAATCTTATGACATAATTAGTGGATCTCTCTCCTATAAGGCTTCTACTTACATTTTCAACTCTTGTTTTGGAAAGGTGGTATGCTTGAAGGATTCGGATATTTTTTCTCATTATTGGGAAGCTTTTAGCTCTGACGTACTACAATTTTATGATAATAGAGCCGAGAATCATTGAGTTACGATTTTTTGAAACTGATGAACACATTGAGTAGATCTTTAAACTGTAAGATTATTCAAAAACTGTACATAGGATTGAATTAATACTAAAATGAAAAGGTTGAGGGGGTAGTCAGAAACAGCAAAGTATCATACGAAAATATACAAAACTGTATGATTATTCAAAAACTATAGGTACCTCTATTGCAGGAACCCAAATTATTGTAAATAACAACGAGTCAAGAGAAAGTTTCTCTTGTTAGACTTAACTTATTTTTCTCAACATCTCTGGTATCTTCTTGCGCACTACATCCACTATATAAATTAAAAGTTTCTTCTAGCATTTCATATTATTTCCTATAGATTTGCTGTTTTACAAATCATGGATCAGGATCTGGTTAAATAAATAATTAATAAAATGAATTAAATCTAACAATAAATTTTCTTATTTGCAGGGAAGAGTTAGCAATGAAGATTGGATTAACTGAAGCTCGAATACAGGTGAGAAAATATTATGCATAGTAAATTTCTTGTTAAATATAATTAATATAGGAATGACTATTTTGTACCGGTTGCTCGCTTTAAGAATGTATAAGCTAACGGTATAAGCTGAGCTCATCCAAATTTATTATTAACCAGTATTTGTTGTGGCTGAAATGTCAAAGACCAATTTAAAATATAAATAGGTAACACCTATTAAACTTATTATCTAAGCAATCAACAAGAGAAGATAGTTCAATTTGTCTACGGATATTTTTGCCTCGTAACGATTTATTCTATACACACTGTGTATTAATACTAAACTAATTTATTTCATTGTTAAGGCCTAAATTGCTAAATTTCATGCCTGTATCTTCATTTATAAAACTGACAATGCAGCGGTTAAAGCGATAAATTTAAGGAAAGGAAAAAATCTACCTGCGCTGAATAGTTATATCGTCCTCATAATTAGATGATTCGAAAAACATATAAAAATTCAATGTTTTCGTTCCATTAAATTTAAATTGCCCTTTTCGGACAAGATGTTTAGAAACTTAATTTGAAATTGATTAATGTTCTTTTTCCTAAAAAAAAAATCAATTTAATTTTTACTCATTAGTAGGTATACAAATACACACCCTATAATAGGTACTGAAAGAAACGTTGATAAATTTGGAGAATTAATGAACAAGGTGCTGTTTATACTTAGGAGGAATAATTTAACTTGATTTATGTGGATTGTGGAAAAAATTACAAATTCCTTATGAAGTTTAAGTTAGGGCTAGCAAAAAGTTGAGGGTTCAGGACCAACTTCAGATCTTGGATTTATTGACTTGACACTTGGCATGGAACCATTCCAAAAAACTCATATCTATACCAAAAGAAAATACCGAAAGTTAATTTAAAATATAAGAAAAGAAACATACACTTGTTAACAGTCTGTCTGTTGACCTGTTGTTGTTCCTCCGGATCAGACAAACGATTGATAAACGGAAACAAGCGCTGTAATAATATAACAATCATCGAAACGCATAGGAACTCCATTGATATCTCTCCGCCGAAATTTGAGCGCCCTGGTATATAATTATATACCTACCAGGTTCGTACTCGAAATGAGACGTGGACGGCGGCAAAAAATAATAGCCTCCGGCTTATTTAATGAACCGGTAGGTAATTGATGGACACGCAACACAAAAATTACGTTTTTCTACGACCGAAAGGAAAAAGACATCTTCTGGTGGCGTTATATACCTGCTGGTGGGAAGTGACGATTCTACTTGATGACAAATCTCAAGCTGTTAGCCTTTATCTGTACTTAATGAAAACGTTAGATGTTGATTTATTTCCCTTTTTTCAAGAAGGTACTCCATGTATCTTGTCAATAAACCTGAGAGGTTGTAAAATGGAAAGAAACCAGAATTCAAAACGCCAAATGGTGCACATTCTATCATGGAGAAATAAAGAAGAATAGAGATACAATGGGAATTGGGATATTTTGAAGTTCCATGCTAGACTTCTACTACTTTGCCAAGCTTATTAGTATTTTACAGTTGGTTTTCAAAATGTTGAGTTTTCATCCAAGAGAGAAGAATTTGAATACCTTTATAGGATCAGTCGTATGCTCAATTTTCTTAACATCGATGGATAATGGACATCACCAATGACGTATTAACACACATAGACATTAAAGTAAACAAACTTTTATCTCGCCAACATCTAGGAGAGCAATCTTCCTCCAGTGTTTCCCATCTATAGTATATACTTTGTATATAGTCATACAAGGATTCTTCTATATACGGAAAAAATCCGAGTGAGCCTAAATTTTACCTCAAGAAATAATGTATTAAAAGTCCCCACCGATATCTTGTTTGCGTTCCACGATATTCAAGGTCAAATGTCACAGAAATGAGTTTTTCTTAAATATTAATATTTTGCTTTCGGTATGCCCTACGACTATTTTGGCTATGAAAGGAAAAAATATTGGAGAACGCTCTTCAAAAAATGTTATTCACATATTTTACATCAACTCATCAACCGTTTCCACTTTATATGCCAGAAAAACAGAGGGTAGCACCCGTTTCCACACTACCCCAAATATAAGATGCAAGGCGCGTTTTTTTTACATGGTTTCCCCTGTAGGCCTAATCCATGATCTTCCTTGTTGCCGTAGGTAGAGAATGAGGATGTGCGATCCTCATGCTTATAATCTGTCCCCTCTACCACTTCTGCGTCTTCTGTCATCTCTTCCAAAGTTCCAAATTCTCGGTCTTTGTCCTCACCTCCAGAGCCTCGTCGTCTTCTCTAACATTTTCTTTTCCTTCTGCCATATTTTGTGTCAGGAGGTATCAAAGTCGATATCTTCTTCATCCTGCATATTTTTTTCGATAGCGATATCAACATTCGCGTTGAGACATTGTTACATACAAATTTTGCCTTAGTACGTAACTGAAATTTCGAATAAATTCGGTAATTAATTCAGGTATTTGTGAGGGTATTTATGAAGCTTTATACCTGAGGTTTAATACTTTTCGGTGGTTTCTCATTGGATTTTACTAGTTTTCTGCCTTTTTGATTGAATGCGGAACAATATGTGGGTGTTGAACAAAGGAATATTTTTGGGGGTTATGTCTATTTTATTTAGCTAACGAAAGGTGTCTAAAAATCCCTAACTGTTAATGAGAATGTTTACTTTCACATAAATATCAATTGTCAACACTCACGAGTCTCGTATTTTCCATTATAAAAAATTCTGTAACACCATAAATCACTTTCATACCCTTTAAATCGCTTTTTCACCCTTAACTAATATTTACATTTTCCCGGTTATTTATTTTCCCCGAATAAGTGTGGTTATGGGACACTTGTTGATCCTTTTCAGGAAGCGCTGTTGCCAAGGTTTATGACCATTGTTGCTATCCTGTTGCTACTACGTTGCTACCACTGCACGAATGGTTATTTTGATAGTTTTTAGACTAAAGACCGGGTAGATGATGATTATTAATTAATTAATTAGTGTTGGATAACAACTTTGAGTTTTGTTTGTCATCAATGTGGTTTGGGTTCTTGAGGGACTCCAAAATATTATTATTTATTGTCCATGATTCAAATCCTTTCCAAGGCAATTCTGTACCTGATAATACACTCGACTTAGATGTTGGCATGCTGCTGCAGCCGTTGGTGGAAGTAACGCCAATTTCACTGCGGTATTAAGTCGTGTTAATTTCCCAAATGACATGTATCGGTGGTTTTCAATAGATACCTACTTCTGTTTCAGGAGCTCCATAGATGGCCAGAATAATGCGTGATCCATTTTTAACAATCGTTTCTGTTGTACAAAAAACGTCCGCATTTGATGCATATTCTTTTGAAGTATGGCCCCACGTTAGGCGCCAATTTGAAATGATGAATCGTTTCTGTTGTACAATTTTCCTGTTTAAAAACTTCCGCAAATTGATGCAACTCGGGATACCGCACGAAAATTTTTAAAACTTTTATTTTTCCTTTATTAAAAAGTGCGGAGGTTGTGTCACAAACCAGCGATAGCGTGTAGGGGTAGTATGCCGATGATGGCCCCCTTAAGAATAATGCTTTAGAATTTTTATATTTATGAATATTTTGTAGATCCTTTTAGTTCATTTTACGGGTCTTGATAAGGGCTGTCAAAACCTGCATTGTATTTTTGATTAAATTGACAAATTAAATTTTGACAGTATTTTTTAAAGATTTGTTTGAGGGTTCCATCAACAACCTGTCCTTTACTCTAACGTCTAGGATGCCACAGATAATTCTGTCTCTAATCAGACTATTCCTCAGATCAGCCAAATTACAATCTTTACTTAATTTCTTCAAATCCGTGACAAAATAATCTATAGTTTCTCGCTCTTCTTGACACCTAGTGTTAAATTGATGTCTAATAATTGTTTCGTTTGCTTAAGGACTAAAATATAACTTTAAGGCATCCAAAACTTTAATCCAGTCCCTTTTAACACCATCAGTTAACTCTAGAGTGCTATAAATCTCTATAACTTCTGGACCAACTGTGTGTAAAAGAATTGGTAACTTCAAGTGAATTGAAGCCGCACATATCATTACACTTAAAAATTTATCCATTTCAGTGTGACATTTGCAAAGCAAAGTTTCAACAAAAGGAGAATTTGAAGAGTCACATATCAATACATCCTGATATTTAACCTTTTGAATGTGACACTTCCAAAGCAAAATTTATACGAAAATCGGATTTGAAGTCACAAATTAGCACACTGGGATATTTATCCTTTTGAATGTAACACTTGTAAAGCAAAATTTAATAATTAATATCTAAAGCATTCGACAAAGTTTGGCAAACCTGCTCAACAAGCTCAAAGCAATGGGATTATCGCCGAAACTTTGCACTTGGTTTGAAAGTTACCTAAAGGACAGATCCATTTATGTTGCACTGGATGGCCAGAACTCCAACTCTTACCAAATAAATGCTGGTGTGCCACAGGGAGCAATCCTTTCGCCAACTCTTTTTCTGATTTACATAAATGACCTTATAGATAAAACAGTAAATCCACTTTATTGCTTTGCAGACGATGGCAATGTAGTCTCTTCACTCATACCACCCACAGGTCTTTCCGCACGTGAATTCCATCATCTTAGACTAACTCAAATATCGCAGATAAATAACGACCTGGAGATAATAGAGGACTGGGGTAACAAAAACCTTGTACAGTTCAATGCGCAGAAAACCCAAGCAGCTCTGTTTTCAAAAAAGACCAGCACCGGTGAGCCAAACATCATGCTATCTGGGAGTGCTGTCACATTACAGAGTCAGTTGAACATCTTGGGGGTTACTGCAGAGACCAACATGTCTTGGCACAGTCACGTGGCAGATATTGCTAAAAGGGCGTCCCAAAAGCTGGGGGTGCTATTTCGTACAAGACATTTGTACACACCAAGCCAATTGCTGACACTCTACAAAGCCCAGATTCGACCAACTATGGAGTACTGCTCACATATATGGAGTGCAGCACCCAAAC